ACTTTCTCCAGAGTTTTCAGTTTAGTGTCTGAAGGTTATCAGTGGTTCCTTGTTAGTGAACTTCCTTTCTGGGAAGTTCAGCCTCCTTGTATTCTGACTCAAGTCATTAATCGAAGTCGATTCTTTTTTTCTTGCAAATTCCCATAACTGCCCACCTTTCTTCTCTCTTCTCTTCCTCAATCCCCTCCAGTGCCCCCCACAGCAGGGCACTGCTTTCTGAAAGACACCCAGTTGCTTTTCCCCTTTTTGCTGCTCTTACAGAGGTGAATGGTGGAGGACTTGGTGTGTTTTGAAATCCTCCCATCTGAAAAGCAAGAGCCAGGGTTTTCACAAAGTGCACCCAAGGAGGGGATATCCAAGGAGCTGATGCCAGGAAGGAGCTCAGGTTGTTGTGGAGCCCAGAGGGAACTGAGGGGTAGGTGGCACTGGGGAGCTGGCACTGGGGAGCCAAAAGGCAGGGGCAGTGCTCAGAGTGCCCGAGGCTTATGAGAGGGCAGCTCTGCAGTGATTCCAAGCAGGCAGGAATCCAAGAGGGATTGTAGACCAGGATTGTTCTGGCAGGGAGGGGATGCTCTGGTGTGGATATTTTAATTTTGTGAGAAGAAAGGCAGCTCTATAGAGAAGAAAGTGTTTTAGGAATGGGTTTGGAGAAGTGGGGTAAGGGCTGTGGAGGACACCAGGTCCAAAGACTGGGAGAACTGATATCAACGGGTGGAAGTGTTGAAGATGTGGTATTAATGAGGGGACTCAAAGGCAGGAGGGCCTGGGGCTCACCATCTATCAGAGCAGGTGCCATTAAATGGGATCCTGATTTGGGGACTGAGGACACATCCCCCTTCCTCCCAATGAACTGCTGTAAACCCCTTTCTCATCTACCAGAAATACCAGAAATACCAGAAATAGTATGTCAGTATATACTACATCCACTTCCAAATAGAAGGTTTAACAGACAATCTGATATCCACACTAAATAATGATTTAGTGTGACCAGAACTCTCCTCTTCCTCCCCCCCACCACATACTCTTTTTCTTTCAGTATATTAGTACTTAAGGAAAATTATGGGGCTATGTGGGTGGTGACACTTGTACTCCACAAACATAGGGTGGGTGCTGAGATCCTGCCTTCTGAGAAGAACTCACCAGAGTGACCAGTGAGGGCAGTGAGTGGGCAGAGCCCACTGCTGCAGTGATGCACCTCAGCATCCTGCAAGGGGATTGCTGACTGTGGCTCTACCAGGACAGCCTGTGCCCACATCAGGGAGGGAAAGTGCTGCACCCTTACTGGTCATAGTGAGTCATTTGCACCTTCTGCTACATCTGGCATGAATTTCGTTTTGAGTTACTCTAGTGCATCATTATTTTCAATAGTTCCTTCACCAGAAGCTGGAGCCACAGAGGTGAAAATAATTACATTTACCAGAATCTGTCATTGAAATTGGCAGCTAGTTCTCATTAGAAACAAAACAATCTGGTTGTGAACAGCACTGAACAGTACTATTCAAGTGGTCACATGGGGAGTAAAATTATTCAACAGAAGTAATAAAGATAATATAATTGCCGGGTATTCAAGTACACCTGCCTGTACTTTTCCTCTGTGTGAGTTGAAATCAAACAAGGAAACAGTCCTTGGGGGACAAATCCAATTAACTGTGAAAAAGAGCAATTTACCAGAAGACTAGCCAGCCTGTTTTAATTTACAGAGAAATTTGTGTCACTCTTTTGTCTGTATGTAACACTGTGTGCAACATAATGCTAAGTGTTAGCTTTAAATGTGCTTCTGTACACCACCACCTTGGATCACATCCATGGTTTTGGCCTCACCCATACTGTGAGCCTGCCAGTGTCTCTTTTGGCCATCCAGATTTGTGTCAATTATTTAAAACTACAGTGGCCTCAAATAATTAGAAAACTATGCTGTAAATTCCTGGACTACTCACAGGACATGTGCTGCCTTCATATACACAGATTTGTTGAGGCTTGGAAAACTTTCCACCAGCACTTTACCTCAGTGTCTTCTCTGGGTTTTTGTTGTACACTTATTGAAGTAGTTTACAGGGACAGATTTAATAGGAACTTGGACTCAGCTTTTCAAAGGAATTAGGAGAAAAAACTATTTTACTTGCACAGTGTGCCTGTTAGATACAACTACAAGGGCTTTCTGTTATAATAGAAAAGCCACACTGAAAAACAAGAGAAACAAAGATAGCCAGAGCAACACTCAATTTGAATTGTGTCTGTTTATATTTGAATGCCTTGTTTGGAGGAAGTTCTGTTTTTACCTTTAACACTCTGCAAGTTCATACAAAAGTCAGTTTAATTTTAGTATTACTCAATTTCCAAAGAAATCATTTGGTTTTTTGTTTAGAAAACTTACTGCCAAGCCCCCTCTGCTGGAGGGAAAACTATGTTTTCATCCCTGCATGCTGAAGACATCTAGTGAAAGAATTCCAGCTTTTTACTGTGCAAGTAACTGCAAACTCAGAGTTCACAAGATCTTTACTATCTTTCTGTAATTATCTATCATTATCTGTCTTGTATAATATGTCTATGCAGGAAACAGTGAAAATCTGACTCCAAGAAGTACACATGCTTTTCCAAGGCAATTCAAACTGCAAAGACCTGCTTTGCTTGTCTCTCAAGTGTGACAAGAGAAGCTTGCTGGATGAACAACAATACTATGTGCTGGTTAAACCACATTCATCACTTGTGTATGACAAAGCCTTTTGCAAGGACCAGCTTTATATTTACAGATCAGGAAACAGGCCCAGCATGGATTTCAGTCCTGCTCTGGAACAGATTGCCTGGTGACCTTGCACTATTGGATTAGGTTAAAAGCCAAAAAAGAAATGTGTCATGACACTGAGCATTGTCCAACAAAACTGGAACTTCCTGAGATAAAGTGTTGGACCTGTTTAAGGTCCTCTGTGGTGCACTTTGAGTTTCTTTCAAAGGAGCTCCAAAGCAGCCAGTATTCCATGCAAGCAGCCAGTAAGGAACTACTGCCTATAGATATGTGTCTGAAGCTTTTCCCTCTGTTGAGCTTGCTCAAAAGTTGATCTTTGAAGATTGGCAGTCTTTTAAAAAGGGAGCAAACCAAGAGAGCATTGCTGGAGCAGCTGATTAGTACTTAGAAGATTCTTTAGTATGTGGAAAAGTGAGATTTGTGTCCCTGCTTGGCAAAAGGGCAGTCAAACTTCACTTTCTCCCTTACTGAAAGTTGTCTCAGCTACTAAGTAGCAGTCTCTTCTCATTGAGAGGGAATGAGGAGTATTTGTTAGCCAAGAGAGACTTGGAGCTTAACAGCTAGAGCACTCACCTATGAGTGGGAAACACTGGATTCTGGTGACTGCTCTAAGTGCTGGTACATACAGTACATTAAACAGTTCTTAGATAAGCTACATAAGTGGTATTTGAGGCTGAGACAAAATTCAGTGGCTCCCTCTCTCAATGCCCCAGTCTTCACGTTTAAGGGCAAGTCCCATTCTTTCTGCAGGTCAATGGCTCTTGAAGGCCTTTCTGTGAACTAAAGAAAGTTCACAGGAAGACCAGGGAGTGTTTCCTTCTACAGGCTTATGGTGTGAGGTCATAATTTCAAAATGAGCTTGACAAGCTTGTCCTTGAGTCCCTCTGTGCCAGAAAGGAGTATGAGCCTGAATTTCCCAAATTTAAGCCCAAAGTACCCACATTCCCACAAAAGATCTCACTGGCAAACTGTTGCATAAAATTGATGAGGTTTAAAAGATGATGGTACCCCTTTAAAGAAAGTGTTTCTAATGAACTCTCTGAAGGGATGAGAACTATTTCAAACCCCTATTATTTCATTCAGTTTGATAAAATACTGACAGTTGTTCCATGAAAATCAAACTGTAGCAACACTGAGGAAAGAAAAACCATGCTGAATTGGTGTTTTATGTTAAAAAATACCTTTAAAAAATATAATTGTATTTCAGATGAAAACATTAATTAAAGTTTCCTAGAATATACTGTAGTTACAGCATGTATCCTGGTGGGGTTAAATGAGTATTCAGTCCTAGCTGCAGTAGACAATAAATGTTAAATTTAACAACAGGTTTGGAGTAGAAAGAAGTTTAAATAGCCCTGAGTTCCAGGGAATTTAGAGAACCCAACCCATGTTTGGAAATTGATGCCCAACCTCTTTGCTCACAGGGCAGAGGGTTAAATAAAAGTTGTGTCAGTTCTTGTGTATGCAACATTTTGTGACTATGCTACAACTCCTGGCTGATGAAATGCAGCTGCATCACCTCCCAGGTATAAATCATCTGTTGCTTTATAATTGCAGTGCAATTAGGACTTCCCTTTCCTTTTGAATTAGAAGTTTATTGCAGGGTCTGTGCACAGTGAAGGAAGAAGAGAGGAAGGGGGGAAAAAAGGTAGCAGGAAGTACTCAGCCCCAAGCAGTGGGTGATGAGACAGCTCTGCAACAGGAGGAGGCATTTGGACATGCTTAGATAAACCTCAAGAGTTTCTAGCTCTGCAATCTAGACATCTCATTGCACCTTCACAGGACTCTTGTGCTCTTATGATCAGAGCTAGCTTGCTTCCAGAGGCCAAACTGTGGCCAACCAAGTTGTAGCACTTAATAAAAGCTGGAAAAGGAAGCAGAAGCTCCCTCCTGCCTCATGGGACAGAGGACTGGGGCTGACCCAGGATACAACCTGCCACTTTGCAGAGGCCTTTTCGTGCAGAGCCTGCTCATTTCTTACCACTGAAATGCACAGTTTTCCCATTTATACCGAGCTGCAACACAAAGACACAACTTTAGAGCTATTAAGTTGAAGCATTACATGTTCAGACATCTACAGGTAATATAAAAGTGTGAATGAAAACCAGTGAATTGAACATGGTAATGGAAACTTGTTCTTCAGTATGAACCTGCATGAGATACAGCTACTAGGAAAGATAAAAGCATTGCTCCTAAAGCATCTGTCTGTAACTGTGCTGATGAAACAACTAACAACAGTACACTCTTTTATACTCAGGTACCAGGACTTTAACTGAGCTTAATGCAAGACTACAGACATTGAGGACACTGTAAAACATGCAAACTGTTTGGAATTCCAGGACAGAAGTTTTCCCCACAGTTCGTGAGTAAGAATTTCATGGCACTGCTCCTTTTATGACTTACGTGTACTCTTTGTTATCAGTTTGTAACACTCCACAGCTGTGTGACGAAGATTGCAGAAGTACTGGTGGGGGGAGCTTTTCTGTTTCACATCTGGGAAATGCAGCCTTTAGAAGGAAATGCAT